TCAGTTCATATCCAAACCGTCGAGTTGGTAACTGCAGATGACGCACGAGTTCAAAAGTCGACAGCCTTACACATGCCCGAACCTGGAGAACATCGTTTGAGAAGACGACAACAGTGATCTCGATTTGCAGATTGTTTGACTTGCCAGTTTACCGAGAACTCAGTTCGCTGGAGATTCTCCAAGTGCAAGCCTTTAGTACCACATTCTAAGTTACTAGCAATGCATCCAGTAAACATCTAAGTAACTTTTTCCAACGTCGTTTAGTGCCAAGGAGCCTCGTAGACGAACAGTGCCACGAAACAATTTTCTCAATACACTCAGCAGATTTTTATATGCCCACTGTCACTCAAAGAAAGCAAGTAACGTAACATGATCTAATCACAAGCAAAGTATCCAAGATGTATATAGATTCAAAACAAAGATCTTGAGACAAAATTCAAAATAACTATACCACAAACTGAACAGCTGTTTAGGTGTTCAGATCATGTGACAGTTTCAAGTGCTCATCACGTTCAAGTGTAAATGTAACTCCACCATTCAATACTGAAGATATCGCAGGCGTACGAACATTCTTATAGACCTTTAAAAGTTGATAACGTCTTCTAAGTTATAATTAAAGCTGGAAAAGGAGTTGGGTCCTAAACTTGGTGCCTGTTCGAATTTATTTACAGCGAGATACATTTGCTTCACAATAGCCTTCACTTCTGAACATCTAAGAGCGAGCTCCCTCGTACCGAAAGAAACAGAGATTCTGCAATCATGAAAGCTTTGCTTTCTTCTAGCAGCAGGCTTGCACTGACCTAATTATTGTTCTGATTCGTGGCCGTCTTCAACGGTTTACGAACTGATCGTTATTTATGTAATATTTACCAGGTCTGGACAGAAAACCATCGATTCTTCAGATTGTGAAAGCTCTTGCTTCCACCATTTCTGAATTTCTTTGCACCTGCGCCAGAAAACTTGGCGCTAAAGGTGCATCTTTATATTTCTGGGAACTTCTTTCGACGAGGAACTTGTCCGGGTCTAGTGCTAGCCTTCAATGGTCTATGAGTCTGTCTTCACGAGTCCATTGAAGAAGTGTCCAAATGACTCTTGCATGCAAACGTTCACTTGGAATAGTCCACCCAAGACGAAGTCCCCGGTCCATAGTGTTAACAAATTCAACCATTCGAATATAATTGATTTCCAGGATTTTGAGTAGAAGTTGGCCTCGTGATAATACTATGATACAAAATATTTTTCCCTTTTTTTGCTCTAATTTTTGCCACTAAACAAAGAGAAGAACTGCTAATAAATTTATCTAGCACCAAAGCGGAATGTTTGATTTTTTCCTAAATTTCAAAAGACGAATCTGTTAAGGAAGAATTTTGAGAACCCTTGGTACTTGAAGTTAATCAGAACGAGTTTTAATCTGATTATTAAATCTGATTACGCTATCCAGTGAAAATATTAAATAACATTCACGTTCAAAAGCATTATTATAATATATCATTCTTGTTTCAAAATAAACAGGAAGAACATAGAGTAAAACTAGAATATTCTCAAAGAACAAATCTTTTTAAAGTCGAGATAATAAATGGCTTAATAAATCATTACAATTATACAGTATAGCAAATAATAAGTTTTGACGTTTGGAATAATCCCCAATAGGTCGTTCCATTGGTGGTTTGATGGATGCTGGTTCTTCGTCGCGTTCATCTCCAGAGGACAAATGCATTCATCACTTGGGTCGGGGATACAAACGTGGTGAAAAGATGACGGATAACGCAATTCTGACTTTGACGAGGACAGGATTCGCATACCTTATCTGACCAAATCGGACCCAACCTCGAAAAATGCGAAACGTTAGTTGCGTCTAAATAATTGGAGATTCAGTGGATTACAGATTAGTTGCGGTCACCAAGTCCGCTGGAGTATCACATTCCAAATTTGTGGGGTATAAAACTGCATGCTACGACGAGCGATCGACTTAATATGAAGCATAACTGATTTTAATCTGAGTATAATTTAAGTCAAGGTAGTCCCTAACCACTGCCCGTACTGGATTTATGTTCAATTTATTACCTCTAACTGCTACTGTGAGAGGAAAGTTAGGGGATTTACCAGTTTAATCAGAGCATATGTTGTTCCATAACAAGCTTGGAAGGGAAAATGTTACAATCTGCTGTTATATATGGTGTGATGCTTCGGTATTCAACGATCACAAATGTCTTTTTTTCATTTTAAGGCTTCCCAAGGGCATCAATCTTGGGCAGAAAGTGCCAAATATACAACGTATCGCAGCTTTCTATGAGTATGAAGTGCATCGAAGGGCTGAGTTGTTCTTGGACGTGACACGAGTACACTGCAGTATTGGACTACATTTCGTTATTATTCATAGAAGCCTAACTGAAGACTTGTGACATCTGAACAACTTACAGCAGTGACATGAGTTGTTCATGTATCTCCAGTTTCAAAATTTTGAGATTGCATCGCTTTTGTGAGTTCAACAAGTCTTTGCTTCTTAGTAGTCTTAGTAGTCCAGTGCATCGGATTTGACGCTCAGAGTGTCAGTTTCTCAAAGTAGGGGTGCTTAATTGCTGGAGAGGACTGAAATTTTCCAATACTGCCATTTAAAAGTGAAGCATAATATCATTCTTCTGCTTGAATTTGTCAATGTGGTGTTTTAAAAAATTCTCTTCTTTGTTGTCAACGTCTAAGATAACATTTCGAAGTTATGAATAGAGAATACAAAACAGCTAGAAAAGAAAAAGAAATATCCAGCTTGGCTGTAGAGTTAGGAGTATTCCCCACAATATTGGCAACTTGCTAACATCCAGTTTCTCTTGTCATGCGTCTTGAAAATAATCCAGGACGAATGAAACGAGTATTGAACTGCAACTTTATGTTTTTCAAGGCTACTGAAAGATTGTAGGTATGTGCTTACTTTAAGTTCAAGTTCTATGTATGAGCATTATTACTACATCCGAGTATGTTCTAATTAATTTTAGTGTCATGATATTGTAAATCATGACATTTTTTGTTTCAATAGTTTCTCAAGGTCCTTTCTATGCCGAAAGTGTGATGGATTGCATGAAGTAATCTACCATTCATACCAAAAGTCAAAAATAAAATTGTCTTCTTAAAATATTCTGCCCGAGTATTACCCCCGTTACTGGATGGGCAATATAATGGACCGCGACATTCGAGGTTCCAAAATATGGAAGATAGATCTTTGTTAGATTAATATTACAGACATAATGAAGTCCAGTTTTTAAATTTTTTTTTATAGGACTTATATATATATATATATATATATATAAATCAATAGCTTCTTGTAAATATAAAAAATTCGCTAGCGAGTATTGTTTGCATCAACGATAATCGCTCGTATTGTTCGGAATTATTTTTAGTTGGTTCATACCATATATTTTTGAATATCGTAAGACTAGATGTGGGCTGGATTAAAACCATAGGATAACCATGGGATGTGGTTCTCACATAAGAATTTTAAACCACTTGGCTTTGTCTCATGATATCCAAGTTGCAGAAGATGTTGAAAGCGTTTATTGAAATTCACAGGTGGCCTCCAAGACAGAAAAAATGAATAGGTCCATAGCCTTTAGATTCTTGCTCACAGCCTTTCCTACCGAGCTCCTGTTGCTGCATTTAATTTCGCCATTCCCCTTTTGTGGAAGAGATGGGCTCTCACCGGAAAATACGTGTGACTTGTGTCGTCTTGAAAGCTGTTGCCAGCTTCAAAGCAAGCAGGTTCTGCATGACACGAACGTTATCCACGAATATGAATCGAACGCATCATAATAAAAGTTCTTCAGACTCAGATCTCTAGCATTGGCATCTAGACTTGTCTTACTCGATCAGTCTTTGGAATCTGTCATTCATTGGTTCATGAATCATCAGTTCTCTTCTGAGCGAACTGAACCTACAGCATTGAACCCGTTTCAGTCTTCTTGGAACAGCTTAACTCCCTGCGAAGTCTTGAGGATATAGAACGAACAATGCTATGAATGAACGACAACTACCTATGGTCAAGAAACTTGCCGACCGGCCTCCCAACATCGAATCCCTCTGCTGTCATTATTGCTGATCCGTTGAAGCAGATTTCAGATGGTAGAGTAATGAGAGAAATAAAGAGTGAAGTGAAGTCGCCACTTGCCTTCACCATTTGCACGGTCTGAAGGAGCTGTCTTGCGCTTTGCTTTGAACTGTGGATCGAAATCGGTGCTGCTCCTGAGGAGCTTCTCGATTGACTCCAAGCTGGCCAATGTCTAATTTACCTGGACATGCTTAGAATTCTTCCTTGCCTTGGTGACTGGAAACTAATAGTTTTGTCTCAAACTATATTTTGAGCTTATCCAACTACATACACGACGACCGTATGAGACCTGAGTCTAGATTGAGATGCAAGAGCTTCCTCCTTTCGGAATTCTGCTTTCAGCAGCCCGTGGCCTTCTAACTGAAGTTCCCGTCGGACATGTATTGGACAAAGAGTATGATCATTGTGAAGTCAGCTGACATGCGTTTAGAGCTAAGGGATGCGAATGGAGCAATATCGCAATGACGCGGTTACTCCTGGATGGTAACACTACAGTACGTGGCTCTTGGGTACAAGGTTCAAATCTAGTAGCAGTTGAGTTTGTACTTTCGACACAGACGATACCATGCACATCCTGACCTCAGAGGCTCCATGTATCGACGAGCTTTCCGTCAACAATAGGACGCGACAGGAAATTTTTGAAGAAAATTAGAGATCTATCCAAGCAGCAAATTGTGGTCGAAGAAATTGAGGTGTTCGAGTTTAGTCCAATGATGAATAACAGCTATATGAGCAAACATCATTTGTGTAGCAGACCCTGTAAGTTACTGCATGAAACTGTGCTTCCACACCGTCATGGAAACTGACGGTCACTCACTAATCCACAATACGACGAACTGCCTACGCATTGCCAGGTACACAGAAGTACATAATGGAGGTCTGGAAGACAGGTTATAATCAAAACGTCGGTTTATTGAGTTCGATGACATACTATGCCTTATTGTACAAGTCACCCGATTAATCAGGTGAATATAAACATAATCCTAGTAGTGGTATTTGACCACATTGGTATAAGCTTGTTCCCAATTTACTTCTAAGATCTCATCTGATGGACTGAATGCCTATAAAGCGGCCAACAATTCCTTCGGAATATTTGGCCACCCGGCTCTCGATGGGCGGCTGAGCACGGTGTCGTTTGATAGTGAATAAAGCGGCATAGCTAGAAGGTACCACTAAGGCTTCCAGAACTAGCTAGATTAAGAAGCGCTGTCTATACATATGTATATACTTGATTCAGTGTCGGTTGGTTCTAGCGAGAAAATCTGAGCGCTTCTGTCCGTCGTATGAATCGGGAAAGACTTCTGATCTTGCTAGCCAATCGCATGGATGCAATCGGCTCATGATTAGCTCCATGGAGGAAGCGTAAGTCTCGACTATCTCCTGAAATTTCTGCCTTCCTCCTGAAATTCCTCGAAGGAGACTTGGGGCGGTGGAAGAAGGTTGGAGACGCGACGGTTACCCCGATCTGCACTGCCTTGTGTGCATGTATAACTGAAGAGGGGTCGAGAATAAAGTATAACTTAAATCACAGAATGCTCGACTCGATCATCTTCGCCTTGTATCAACTCGCATGAGCTTCTATGAGAACCTTCTCTTTCCACGGAACGATGAGCCTGAATCAGGAGGTCTTCCATTTTTAACAAATATGAAGCCAGGCCACCGTCGGAAACTAGTGTCTGATCCTTCGTGATCTCTCACGAGAATCGCGGTCGCTTCTCTCCGAGATTTTCACCTTACCCATCTTCTGCTCCAACTGAATGCTTTTCAATTTCTCATTGACCTCATTGATGTTGGGTCGTTTGGTAGGTTCCTTGCCGCAGCATTTCAGTGCAAGTTCCACAACCTCCTCGACGAAAGCCCTCAAGCAATCCTTGCACTGGTTCCTCGGATCTTCGCTGCATGGACACCAGATGGCCTGATCCACGATCTCTTCCAAGAGTCCCAGGCATGACATTTCGTTCACGAGGTCTGGGAGGAAGGTTTTCGATCGACTGGGCTCGCCGGCTCTGAGCCCTGTCACGAGTTCCATGAGAACAACTCCAAAGCTATACACATCGGTGGTGTCAGTAAGCTTCCCAGAGCTCTCATAAGCGGGATCTGTGTATCCACGAGAGCCTTTGACTTTGGTGTGGCAGTGAGTTCGCTGCTTCTCGTGTGAAACAGCGGCGGCGATGCCGAAATCTGCCAACTTGGCACGCTTGTGGTTGTCGAGAAGAATGTTGGAAGATTTCACGTCTCTGTGGTAGATGGGGAACTTGCTATTGTAGTGAAGCTGAGTAACGGCGCTGGCTACGTCGATGGCGATGGTGAGTCGCTGGTCCCAGGTGAGCTTCTCTCCTCCGACTTTTCCCTGCAGATGCTGCTCCAAGTTGCCCCCTGGAACGTACTCGTACACTAAAAGGGGGTCTTGTTCGTAGGAAGAGAAGCCGATGAGTCGGACAAGGTTTTGCGACTTCGGCAGGCTGCGGTGAAGAAACACTTCGTACAGAACCTCTCCTAAAGAATGTCCTTTCACGTCCTTGTACTTCTTCACAGCCACCTTTTGGTCATCGAACATGAAGCCTTGGTACACTCGGCCTACCTTCCCACTGCTGACGAGCTTCAGCTCCGAGAAGTTGTTCGTGCAAGCTCTCAGCTCCCTGTAAGAGAACCAGATGACTTGTACATTGGCTGCCCTTCTCCAATACCATTGTGCGAAGCGAACATCTGCAACATTACCAGAAATACTTTCATCAGATTAAACGCAATACTAGGGTGAAAAACCTCTAGAACACCACTTTGTCAGTCAGGTGCTCGTAGTAGTCTCTACGAGGGTTGACTCTAGTTGATCACTAGGTTTGACATGAAAACCGTCAACAGCATGCTTTCGAGGAAAACTTGCAAGCGACGTGCAGAGAGTTATACAAAAGTGAAACTGACTGACCTCCTTCAAGATGGTAGTAATTGAAGAAATCGTGGATGAAGTCACTCCATGTGGAGACCTGGTAGCTGGTGAGCACATATTTGACGTGGGTCGAGGCCATGAGAACGGTGTGGTCTGCAGACAAACCCTGTTGGACAGCCCAATGGGTGAACATGCTGAGCCAGTGCAAGGCTTCAGCTTGGAGCTCTTCGCCTGTGAATGGAGGGACGACGACATCACCCGGCTTGGCATGTGGAATCAAAGTGTCCAGGCACATAAAGTTGAACTCGCTGCGGAACTCCTCGCTTAAGGCGTAGTGCACCATCTTCGAATTCTTGTTTGGTATTGTCGTGAGTCGAATTGACTTCGAGAGTGAATCTGGAAGGCGCAGCAGGTCCAGATATACTGTCGAATCCTGAGGAAGATCTGCAATTTGTAGCTGGCTTTCTAGACACCAATGTACTCAGACTGTCAGACTAGACAACGACGTTGTCGGGCGTTTTGAGAAGAGAGTCTGTACGGCAGCGGCTGTATGACAAAAATCTAGAGTCTCAGGAATAAGAAGTGAACGAGGAGAGATCAAAATTGGCGGAGGGTGTCTGATCGGTTGTCTTATCCTGATTTTTCTTCCCAATCGGCCTTGCCAGCATGTGGCTGTAGCCAAACCTCCAAAAAAGAAGAAATCTAAACGAATAAGGCCTAGGACTAGAACTAGAACTAGAACTCGGTATTCAAAATCTCGTCTCCTCCTCGGAAAGTATGGAGGTAGAAACTACAGCTGCAGTCGAGTATGTAGATAAGATACTTGCTGCGAGGGCCAGGATCCAACGTCAACTGCACGCTGAGGAGCTATGATCGAATGACGACCAGAGAGCGTCTTTAGATCACAATAAACACTGCTATTGATCGTAGGGGCGAAGTGAGTGCATGCAGAGATCGAGAGTAGATTGCTCTCTAGTGTAGGAAGGAAGCCTAAAGCTCTAACCTGTAAACTCCTAACACTCGAACTTAGGGACTGGATTGCTCGACTCTCTGCACGCTCGGCTTCTAAACCCGCAGCCCCAGAGGCGTTGACAGGGAGCGAGTGAGTTGCAAGACTGATATCATGGTAAGCTTCAGCTGGTTTTGATGTGCTCTCGGAGCGAGGGCGGAGGTTTTACCGGAAGCAGATGAGGTTCACCAGAACCGACGGATTTAGTTGTGGATAAAAAAGTTCACCATTCTATTCTCGCACGAGACAATAAAATCTGTTCGAGGAGTGAGCTCACTATCACGGGCATGCATGAACTAGCCAGCTCCCAACATCTTCCAAATAGACCTGGGCGAGGAGTATTAGACATGAGTTCACAAGCTCAGAATCCAATTTTCTCCAGTCCAGAATGTACTCGTGCTATTTTACAGCAGCACTAGTGGACAGGGCAGCCTGGAAGTGGAAACCCCCAATAACGACTTGACATTTGATTCGGGAAGCGCCTCCTTTCTTCCGTGAGCCCTCCCGCTCTTGTAATAGAAATAGTTGTCGCTTTGCCATCCACAGAATCCACTCCTCCAGGTTTGACATTGGCACCCCAGAATCTCAGGATGCATGACCCCACGCAAGAGGGTTGAAAACTCGCTGTCAGTCCGAAAGATTGGAATGTCGAGGTCCATGGTCAGCCATTGCGGATGAAAGCCGGGGACGACTGCAGACGTCGGATTTAGCGACGACCCTCGGAATCGGCAATTTGGGCAAGGCGGGCTCTACAACTGAGACACTTGCCATCGGGTGAGCGGGAGAACCCACAATGAAAAGGAACTTCGTCACGTGAAGGACTCGTGAACTCGTCCCGTTGACAAATGCTCTGTAATTAATGGAGGCTAACTACGGCTCCTGGGTAGATGAGCAGCATTAAGAGCAGCTATGAAAAGAGGCTGCAACATGAGAGCTCGCGGGTTTTCTGGCGGCCATAGCTGCCGGTATCCAAGGCGAGTAAGTCGGGCATGGATCCCTTTTCTCCCATTTATTGGCCGATCGAGAGCTCTCGTTTGTAGTCGAGATTCGGATTCCTTCGCTCTAGCTCGAGCCACTGACTGGAGCAATGTACGCGCGAAACGGAATCCCATGCCCACCTGGACGAGTCCACGTGTCCTCGCTGGACTCTGAGCCTCAGGCAAGCAAATGGCCGCCACCGCCCTCTGGGGAGTCATGTGGCAAGGCTTCACCTCGATCCCGATTCGACCTCTCGTGCGTCAGTCGCTCCTCCGATAGAAGCTCGTTGACTACGAGATCCTGATGCGTACGCTTGCCCTGCCCGCGCCGCTCGGCAGCGGCGATCGTCGGATGCGGCTGGAAGGGTGACAACCTCCTGACCATCGTCGATTGCTCTCGTTCCTGTCAGAACTCATGGCTGCGGGTTTGCGAGAATAAGCCGAGGTCTACCTGTAGATGGTCAGTCACGTTTCTGATTGTCTTCCCGGCCACTTTTAGACCCGGGTAAAATTGTGCTGCCTGCCTTGCTCCCGGGCTCAGCATTTGATCCAGATCCAATGTTGTACGAGGCCACTCTCGGGATAGATTGAACGGGAGTGGAATGGATAGATGTGTGAAGTCCGTTGCACCTATTCTTCTCGGCAACTTCGCTTGCGTTGCTATTCTGAGATCGCTCTCGTTGACTTGACGCTACGCAGAGAACTGGATAGAGTTCTTTTGCATTACCTGCAATAGATTTGACTGCGGGTGACTGCAGTTGACATTTTTGTTGGCATGTAGCTCTCCGGATTTGACTCTCGATCTTGGCCTTCTTTCCGCGCACCCTGAGCAGTATTTGTGATCCACCTCGTGAGATGAACATTCAGCATCGAAGGAGTGATGAACTTTGCTCTTCATCAGGCTCATAGGCGCCAGCGATGTCTAGGAGACTGGCATCTTCTCGTCCGATGTGGGACTCGGATCCGATTCATTCGTAATCATGTTTGATGGTGAGTATCAAATCTGAATGACTCTTGATCATGATCAAGACGGGCCGTCTTGATCATGATCACGGCTCTGCCTCCTATCGAGATATTTCTGAGTCGCCGTCAGTCGACTTCTCAGTACCAATGACACTTTTCAGCTCCACATTGTATCAACGAGAGCCTGATGAACTCAGTCTGCTTTGACAGTAGTTCTAGCTTAAGGAAGTATCAATTGCATTTCTCATCTTCACAAGGCAATCGTAACCAGATGCGATCATGCAACATCAGAGACGAGGCATTGATTGTACAGACCATGCAACACTACCAGGTCATACTCCAGCCCCACTGTGGGAGGTTTTCGCCTCTCAGCATTCAATGTGCGAAGTCAAGCGCCATGACAGGTTTTACAGAAGCTGTTGTGAGTTCGGATACAGAGCGAAATTCATTGTGGTCGGCATGCTCCCGTTCTAAAACCTACGGCTGAGACAGACGAGCTTGCACGGGTTTCAAATACACGCATGCTGTGCGAAGAATTGGGGTTCTCCATTCTTCAGAACGGCGGTCATCAATGTTCAGCTTCTGAGCCTTTTTATTGCGATTGTACGTAAGGGCGCGAGTACGAGCAGAAGCTGACTCCGATGCGATTCGTAGGTGATAGATGTGGCAAACTTTAAAGAGGTCTAGAGGCCCACGATGATTCTACATACGATTTTCGTGGTATCATGACTCCGAACTTTTAAGTAAGTTATTGCTCCGATCAGACTCTAGAGGGTTGCAATTTGAATGAATTTGAAACCAGTTTTGATCGAATATAAAAAATTGTCACCATATTAGCTTCATTAATGATATCTTAAGAAGATGAAGATTGTTTGAATCATTAAATAAGTACTCATCCTCATCAGCAATACTAAATTCGTAGGATGCTTTGACTAATCGCGAGTTTACATCTTGCAGGAGAGAATTCAATATCATCTCTGTAAAGTATGTGCCCAAGCAAGAATCAGTTGAGAGCATAAACGGACTTTTGAATGGTGAAACAACGAGAGTGAATGCAATGTTACTACACACTCTCCTTGCTAGAGGCGAGTAGAGACTTTTGTTTGGTAGATGGATTCAAGACAATTAGATAATTGATAGAAGCTATGTTAAATTTGAGAGAATTTTAAATTTATTTTTTATAAAGCAACTTAATTTATATTTTTGATTGATCTTTTTTCATATCATATTATGTAAAAAGTAATATGAATCTATAATATTCATATAATAATAAAATTTAATTTTTTATTTGGAATCAAACAAATTTGTTTGAAATTGATCAATATTTTAACAATTATTACATAAATTGGATAAAAATTCTGTGTCATTAATTTTTATATCTAGACTTATTTATATGTATAATTAAAATTGTCTCACTATATTTCTTAAAAAAAATTTACATTTTTAAGAATCAAATAGTAATAATTTTTTATCACATGATAATTTATTTATTTTAAGTAGAAAATTTTTATTAAAATAAATTTTATTGAATTTGATTTAATTAATGAAATTTTTTCATAATTATAATTAAAGAATATTTACATATTAGTACATTGATATACATATATCTATTCATTTTACTGCAAAAAATTAATTGAAATAATTTACATATATTCAAGATTATTTACATGCATGCAAATTTGTGTTACATAATAACTTCTATCATTTTTTTTATTTAACTGTTTGAATATGCACAAGTGTAAATACACATTTTTTTTCATAAAAACAGTGATCAGATTTATTTAGTTCAACATCTCATGAATTGTAAGTCAGTAGAAGTTTTGATTATTATTACTTTTGGCTTTCAAAATCCCAATGTATTTCACTCTCAAGAACAAGTCATTGAGTCAGTTGCAGTTTATTCACATCTAAGCAAGAATTAGCATGACTAAAATATGCGATAATCCATTTATAGTTTTTTCAAGGAATTTTGCAAGGTTCTTCCAACCTTGGTGCACACGATAAAAAAATATTCTCTCGTTTTATTAATTTTTTCTCTAGTACTTGTTGATATATTTTTATATGGCAAAAAGAGCTATATTTTTATAATAGATCATAAGCATGCCTATCTTGTAAACATTTTCAATTCATATTGGACAATAATTGTGTAAAAATCATCTTAAGGTGTTGGCAATCCAAAATCAAATTTATTGATTTCGACTTCTTCATGTAAAAATACCTGATTCATACCCATTCTTAATAGACTCAGTCATTGTGAGTATGCCTTGAATTTTATTTTTGTAATCTATAAATTTGATGCAATTTTTTTTATTTGACGATGACCAAACATAAAGATTGGCACAATGCATGTTTTCTTGGAAAAACGATCAATGAAGGATTAAAAAGTCTTGTTTTTAGCTTCTACATACTTAGAGGCAAATTGCTCTAGGATAAATTACTTCCTAAGCTTCAAACTCACAAACACATAGTCACAGAAATTGCTCTATGATTTATAAAACCCTAAAAGTGGAATTCACAAACACACATCACATCGTCTAAAACATGAATATGCACAATTAAGATACATAGGCAAAACGGACTTACATGGTTGATTGTTGAGGAGTGTATCCAAGGAAACCCAAAAGATTTATTGAAAATATCTTAAATCAAATCACTCGTAACTTTTGCAAGCTTTCTTGAATATTGATATTCAACTAGCTACATAAACTGAGATTAAAGTAACCATGGGATCTGAGTTAAATCTTAATAGTAGTAATCTTAATCTTGCTCCCGTTCGTCTGATATATTGCAATAGAATAATAATTTTAGTGACATTTTTTTTAATTAGATAAAAATAAAATAAAATATCCGTTGAATTTGTCTTAAATTATGAAATTAATTATTTGATAATAAAATCATATTTTTTAAATAGATAATTAATTAATTAAATAATTTCTTCTTATAGCCTCGCATGAAATTTCTATACATTTTTCTGAAAAAGTTCAAAATTGAATATTCAAATATTTGAAAATTGTATCATAAAGCATGCTGGAAAAAAATTATTTTCCTTGAAAACTCTAATGAGTCTCTCAATGGAGTATGTTTTCTTATGAAAAGATGTACATTCTTTGAATTTATATATAGTTCAGTTTTCCGGGGTAACTAAAATCGCGAAAACGGCTTGAAAAACTTACAAGAGTAGTATTTTCCGCCAATTTCATCGTCACACAAACATATGGACTTCCATAAACCAAAAGGTTGTAGAGTAAACGATCATGAGTGTTGTAACTATACCCTAAAATTTGTACAAAAAACTAGTGTACAAATTTTAACTTTGTTTTTATACCATATAATGCTTTGCTGAAACTGCAATATGTTGCAAACATGAATTACTTTAAATGAGGACAAAGGACTGGGTGTTCTGGATCAGGGAGAAATTCAAGTTGAAAAATGTCGTGGACTGTTACTGAACTTATTATTGTAGAAAACCTATTATGGGAAGACAGTATTTTTACAGTTACTTCACAAAAAAGTTAAAAAATGAAAATTTCATTCGAACATTCAGTATAAAATAGTTGCTTTAAAGAATCACCTTCATAGGCTTCGAACCTATAATCTTGTATCTAATGTAAAACTGCTTTAAAGTTTGAGTTATCATATTTCAAGGTTTAGATGTTACAAGTGCAAGTCTAGCAATTTTTACTTATTTTTTACAAAGACGTTTAGAAAAATTTACGACATGTGTATCTTTCAATTTTTGTTAATACACTACAAATGCTTTCTAATACTGAAACTGAACTATTTCACTAAATCGACGGAAAGTCGAGAGCAACGTACCTTTTAGTGAAACTAAAGAACCCAAGTTATTTTCAGCTTTCTAAAACATTCCAGAATTCCTGCCGCTTGGATATCTTTGCTTATCAGTGCTGACTTCACTGCTGACTAGTCTTTATGCCAGAACCGTTTTGCCACCTGTTATTTTGCAACGTGGCATATCCGATGATTTGGCATGTCACTTGGCTCGGTGTCGATGACTCATTCTCCGGGTGCCTGGTGTTGGGCTTTGTGAGCTCGCAAGGTCCATGATCGTCTGTCAATTTCTCTTCGTTTCGAAAGCACAAATTCGCTGAAATTCATGCTTACAGCAGCTGCTAACCAGATCTCGATCGAGTAAGGCTCAATCGCTTGTTGCTGCAATTGAGAGAAGTGCATCACCTTCGGGCGCGGTGACATAAAGTTGCACACCCTGCAGCACATGCCAAGTGCTGTAGGGTTCACCTGATGACCTTCACCTGTTCGCTTGAGCAGGTGAAGGTTTGCGTTTCAGACAGTTGATGCCTTTTCAGACAGATTTTGCAGCAGCTTTCCTTAATTTTCCTCTTTCATCTTTTCCGATGATCGTTATTGCTCGAGTTCCACGTCGTATACAACCCCACCTGCATTGGTCTTATAATTTATAAGTCGATTCTAGCCAATCATCTGTGAAACTCTCTTTCTGAAGCCAAAGATCAGGATAGTCTGGATGAAGGTACAGATTCGACTATCATGGGAAAGTCGAGAAACGGATGCCATTGCACGGCCACATGGCACAGGAAGATCTCAAGAATGTATACGAGTCCTGCAGGAAGGAACGGCGTCGATCTTCTTTGGAAGAAGCCGGACAAGGGCTCATCACACACGAAGGGCGAACAGAAGCAGTTCCAAGGAGACATTCAAACTCGTTCTCATTCATTCATTGGAGGTATTTGATTCTAGCTCCTGTATTTAGGAAATCTAGAGACTGAGCAAGAAACTTAAGACTGCCGTATTATGATAGAAGCTTATCCTGGAAAATGTAAACTCCTTACAACGTGGCTGCTCCTATCCAGCAGATCTATCTAGGAGAACTGCATGAGTCAGATGACTAATTTCCATGACATGATGAAACAAAATTGATCGATAGAAACTGGTATGACAGTCAAGATAGAATTGGGGATAGTCCATCTTCTTTCAACTCTTATGTTTGCTCCAACAAATTTTCGTGGAGGCACTTCGTTGGAACCAAGGTTAGAGTCCTACCTACTCCACAGTACGAGCAGTACTAGCAGGTTTGTTGAGCGCGATACTCGATTTACGTTTTAATCAGTGGGTGATAATTTAGAATAACACAGTTTCATCAATACTTCTATTTCGAGGTTGCTCCGAGTCTGTCCAAATTTGAAATCAGTCATCTCAAAATAATGGGTCCTAAACCCACCTGCATGAATGCTCTTTGTAATTCAGGCGCTTCATGAACAATCTGAAAAGCTTAATGTACACCAAACAAATATGGCAAATCGGGCACGTTGAGATGGACAGAACTTGGGCTTGAATACTCCAATAGATTCTTTGTGCAAAGACTATAACTGCACATTTCACCTCCCTGACCCGGACAGTCTGTACATAAAATATGGGTTGGCTGTAAACTGACAGGATTTCACATAGATGGAACTGAACCAACAGCTTTACTCTGACTGGGAGACTGTATACTATACACATTTAAGTACCCTAAAACGGAGCTCAAGATGTAGCCATTTGGGAATTGAATGTATATAGAATCCACATGAGGTTCCAAAAATATTTAAATTCCAATACAGCCCTAATTGTATTACTTAAAGAACTTCCTTCTCCTTCGAAAACTCATCCTTTATATGAGTTTCCGAGAGTATGTCTATTGAAAAAACCATTCAGGATATTTTGCAATTCAGATCGGTACAAGTATATCGACATAGAGCATCAGTTTTGTCGGATGAAATTATGAAAGGAAGCATGACAATTCGATAAGTTCGTCATGGATTTTCATCATTGTCGACGTTTGCAAACATCAGAGATGAAATGGTGAAGATAATCGCACTTATATATGAATAATGTCACGATTTGCTAAAAAATTCCACTTTCATTACTAAACTTAGAATGTTCAATTCAATTCACGTTACTCGAATTATCAATGTGTATCAACTTCTATGCATCTACTTTCCCATACCAAAAAATATTGTATACACATTACCTATGCCCTAGAAGTCCATTTCAAGCACAAAACAACAATATTTTTGCACAATATTTATTAATCATCTCATAACATGAAGAATATAATCTAAACATGTGCTGAAGCAGTGAAAGTCCATTAAAATCACTAAGGATCACTACTCTCGTACAAAATGCTATAGAATGTGGAAAAAAAAACATCAACAGAAAGCTCTGAACTTAAACTATCAAATTTTGATCTAATTAAACTTATTAAACTTGTATAGAGATGAATTTCTCGTCTAGATGCTTTCAGCAGTTCTTCCATACCAACTTAGCTACCCGGTGCTGTTATAGGAATAACAAGCGGTCCACCATATCAAGCAGTAGATTGGTTCATCACATGGGAATCTTAGCATTATGAATGATATCAACTGCTAAACAGGACGAGGAGAAATAGTGAATGAGGATTACAATACTTGTTGACAACGTAGACGTTCGACGTCTTTTGTGAATGTCCAGAATAAAATTTAAGTCAAACGAACAAGACGCTTCTAAGAATGTATTTGACTGAATTTGCATGAAATCCGTGAGCAGCAGAAGCGTGTTGTGAGCTAACAGGAGTCAATGCCCGGCCCACTTTCAGGTCCTCGTATCAGTTCCGTGGAACGCACAATGTCGTTAGCATACGTCCGTTTGCAGCTTAGTCATCTTCGGACAAGAACCGGCAACTATCGACTGTCGATTGACATTTGTCGAATGTCTAATCCCCTGTCCGCCATTCGAGAGACGAGATTTTCCGCATCTCTGATAAACTTTCACATGGAAAGGTCGTGCAGGCCACTCCTCGAGATTCCACCCGCGGGACACGTCAATGGAGTTTTGAAGGGAGAGCGGGGTGGTGGGACAAGTCTTCTAACGCGGCCATATGGAGCTGGATGCTCCGATATCCTCGTCCATGCTCCATACCAGAAGTTGGGATATCTTCTATCGTAGGGGCGGTTGCTGTAGTCGTTCGACTAAAGAGAAAATGTACGGCCCGACAAATTTGTTCATTGAATTCGTAGATCTTTCGTTTTGTTTTTGACGTTGTATCTCGATCACAGTCACTAGCCTTGGCTCCAGCTATCCAGTGGTCGTCTAGTGTGATATTCAGTTTTCTCGACTCCACTTCCGGTCAGCTGATGTAACAAATATTTCCTTTCCAAGCCAATGTTTCTTCTACTTTCTGACAGGTATTTTGGAATCATTGTAAATATGTTCCTCGCACTTGAACATCGTGCAGTCACGAACGACACAGACTACAGTATTCCATGACAAACTCACTCGACTAGTTGCTAAAGTACGGCGCCTCAAGACTCGTGTCAGGTGGATATGAACTTCGGCAATGGTGGAGTTGAAGACACCTGTTACGAGTGCGGTGCGCTGTTACGTGAGCCCACAGAGCCCCACGTGGCAAAATTCTTCCTGTGAGTTACACGCGTCGATCAGCCGCTAGCATTCTGCGCTGTCTCCTACAAACAATCCTACCATGCGTGTCGATCACAGGCAACTAAGTTTAGTTTCGCGAGTATGATTTCCTCGAACAGGATATAAGGTCTTCGATCCTTTGTAGTTTCAGAAATCAGCAGATTTGTCGATCTTTGCGAGAAGCTTTGGTAGCGTATCTTCAGCCCGAGTCCGCGTCATTGTAGCTACGGAAACTGTTGCTTAACGAGGTGTTTCTGATTGTCTTCCTGTGAGTTCTTCCGAGTTTGAAGATGGACGCTCTGAGACGCGCTGATGCGAAAGTAGCTCAAGCTACTCATCCCAGGAGGAACACCAAGTGGAGGATGCAGAGGTAACAATCCCTCTATGGACTGCAGGAAGTTTGCTGAGACATCTGTTCTAAGGCAGAGCATATGAAATGGAGGTAGTTAAAGTACAGAGTGTTGCTATGCGCCTGATGTGTGCATGTGCTGCAGAGCTGTAGGATTTCCCAGCTTGATGTAAACAGTCAGATTTGCGTTGTTGACAGGCACATCCGGTGAACTTTTGCAAACTTAAATCCATCGTATGGATGCATTGGCATTGGTGTTGAGGATATTTGTGCATAAGAAGATTTTGGGGACACTGTTGTTGGGTATACTGTATGCAGATTGTGAATCTGACTGATGTATCATATTATATTTTCTATTGTAGGTATAATCCTCTGTTCTACATTAAGCGCATCATCAACAACTTGAAGAGTGTAGGCCGCAGAAGACACTGAGCGGAGCACATCTCGACACAGTGTAAACAGTTGTCCATTTATGGCTGAGCACAAAGAAGCTATCTTTGATACACCATGTGATCATCATAATGATTCTGCACAGAGATCGGAACGTAATCATCTTCTAGCCAGAGGCTGCAGATCATGTACGAAACAGCAGAGGAGATTTTATTTTGTGAACAGCGGTGACTGAGTGCAATCATCTTGTAAATACCAACAGATTTCAATAATGACCAACTTCGGATGTTGATAGTTTTGCTTCGGTCTACATCTGAGGCCATTCTTTCCTCGCAATCCTGGCATCAGTAGGGTTAATCAGTCTGCGTAGTTTGGAGTGTATGGACGTTGTACAACAACGTCCATGGTTTACTTCAGTATATTGATCATTGTAAACTTTGAATGAAATTCGATCCTTTTCATACATGAGAATACTACTCTATTATTTACTATTGTTTACTGAGATCTTTTTGTGTAAGCTAGCAGCTCGCATTGTCGAACAGTGAAGATCTTACTGAGAGTTACTGAGAATGTAACATAGACGAAGTAATCAAAAATTGTAGAGTCATTTCAAACATTATGATAATAAAATATGAAATGAAGTTCCTAAATCGTCAAACCGTAGCATGTAAATTGTTTAGTACCCGCCACTTCGTAGTGATATCTCATCTTGTAGATAACATGTCAATTTAACCAATTGCATTATGTACCCAAGCGTCGGAGTAGTCTCATAATCCGACGATTATGATATGGAATTGATAATTCTAGAAAGAAAGTGTATAATGCTTAGCACCTGTTAACAAGAAAGTTTGTTTACCCAAATGCTATGCTACCTGATGCCTGCAGTACACTCGTCTCTCAGAATTTAGTCAGACCGATCTGTGTTCCAGCCCAAAAAGCAGGTTGGGCCAACATGAGATTATCCTTAGCATCCTCCTCTTCCTTCTTCTTGCTGAAATCTCTCTCTAGGCAAGCGATCATACTTGATCTTCGTTTGTATCCTCATAACTACGCCCCCGCCAAAGGCAAAGTTGCTTTTTCACCGAAGAAAAATAAAAATGTTATAAAGAAATTAACTGTCTCGCCCTGATTCACACATTCTATTCTCTCTCTGCTAAGTTTTTCGAAAAGATTTCGACAGTTCATATGTTAGCTCACAAACTCGCTCACATTGTCTCTCGGCCAAAATATTCGCTCAAAGGTCTCGACAGATGTACGCTCCATTGCAATTTTGACTCCTAACTCCGCTCATTGCCCCAAAAGCATACATGTTACGACAAGTATGAATCCAAGACCTCGGGCGTTATTGTGCACATGGATGAAAATGTGCTGTAGGTAGAATCCCACGTTTTGTGTTACGCAAGTTCCCATCAAGTAATTTTTTCTCTGGCTTATGATAAGCACGATTTGAGTTTAATTAAACTTAGTAACATATCTGCAATGATTTAATTTAAAAAATAATATTTATGTATGAGCTAAAATGTAAAGCGATATATGACTGAGAAACAATATGTTTGACATAGTCATATATGGGGGTTTGTTTCGGTTCATGCCATGTAATTGAAGAAGACAATTTATAAACTTAATTTGGGGAAAAATATTTCTTGAATGTTTAAAAAAATCTGATATAATACGTAAGAAAATATTTTAACAATAAAATTCTTGGTTTTTTTTGTCTGCTATCCTTTTTTAATGCAAACAGAATGTGATAGACTATATTTTTTACGAAGTTGTAACTGTCACTAAATTATATCTTGCATCGATCAGGATTTCTTGCTACTTTTGCATAAGAAAACGAATTCAGAGTTAAGTAAAAGGAAGGCATATCGTAAATTCTACAAACAGACTTATATGTGTCACTCACTTACTTTTTATTCGTGCAATTGTATCCCCATTCTTTTGAGACTTCTGAAAAAGAGTATCTTGAGGATAAAAAATACATAAGAACAAATATCTCTTGTTCTTGTTTTTTAATAAATATCACCCAAACTTTCTGAGACATCCACTCTCCTGGAGTCATGTCTTGTTTTTTAAAATTCCAACAAAAGTCCTGAACCTTGATTTATCAAAAAGCATGCAATAAAGTCCACTTCCTTGTCCAAATTCAGCAACACTATTTAAATATTTTCATGAAATTATGAAACTTTATGAATCTATCAAAATTATTGCGGGCTTTTCTGATGCTACCGCGTTGCCAATTTCGTCCCATCAGAAGATTGTGCGGAAGTACAAAATGGTTGGCACTCACAAAGTTGAGTGTAACTCACAACTACACCACACCACGACAAGATCTAGTCCTGTAGTAAACGAACGTGGAAACCCGCTGGAATTACAGGAAATTTTGAGAACATTGGTGGAAGCAGATACTCGAAGTATACTTCACTCCAAGTATTCTTGCCGATGTAGGCACACGGAAAGGAGAGTGACCCTTCAGTCTGAAGTAAATAGCTCGGCTGCTTCTCAGGAAGTTCACAAGCAAGAATGTGCACGCGTTTAAGAAATCAAAGCTAACGACCTTGGTGAACATATCTTCCGCTCCAATTCCTTCTATTTTAGTCCGTTATCTCGGAACTCTGCAGGCTCAAGCTTTCTTCAAAGTACGCTCGTGATACCACAGCTGCCAGTTGTGAAACAGCCCCTTGCGTGGTTTCAATTCAAAATCTGCTGGACTTCAACTAAACGTGACATAGGTGACTTATTCCTTCTTTCTACATCTATTACCAGTTTCTGTACATTTCTCATTTTACATGCGAGACAAGAATGTGAGTTCGTAAAATTTTTTATGAATAGCGTTCATGACTCTATGTGAAAGGAGAATGTGTGAAGATGATGAACACCACTTGATACTCGTTTGACTTCGACCAAACAAACCAGGAGGAACCAGGTCATATTATAAGCCTTTTACTTGTTACCAAATTTACACGAACATGAACGTACACCTGCCTGAATATTTGAGTTCTATATTTGAGGTAGTGTACGGTCATATTTTGGACCGTACAATCTCATAATTCACCGTACATACCAAAAATATGAAAAAAATCTTCCCTAAGTTGAAACGGATTGTGTCCTTTAGTAACCATGACCACCCATTCTCTCGATTAAACCTACACACATGTGGAAACACTTTGGTCTCAAAAAACTGCTCATGCGTCACTGTGAATGGAGAATCATGTAGATCGCGTTGACAATCAGTAAATGTTGCGATATTTTACGCTTGGAATTGCAACACGATTTTCTGCATAGGAGGAGAAACTTTACTCGAGAAGTGGTGAACCTCCTAGCTTAGATTAAAGTACCGATGGATTTTACACCCATCGGTGGTTTAAAACGGGGTACACAATATCACTCAACACAATGAGGACGGGTGAACCGAATGATTTTGATTTAAGTTAACTATGTTATCAAAGTGAGTAAAGGTATTAATATCTTTAGGCAAGCAATCCACATTTAACTTGCGAGTTGAATATATTCAAACTCCACACTTAACACTTTGTTCAATAATCGAGTCAAAGTATGTACAACGCACAACTACACAATGTGGAAATACCATCACTCCACTTTCAAATCCATTGACACGTAAAAACGATGTTATTCACTTCGTGTAATGTGGAGTTCAGAGTTCAACCTGGGGCTCTGCTCGTTGTTTGGTTGAGGGAGACTCCGCGGATGCTCCCACGCGCGATTCTTAGTTCAAAGTTAATCTGTATGATAAGGTTTACAGAAACAAGACTTAGGTTATTGGAAATGCCTAGCGAATATTATTATTTTAAGTACTTCGTAACATTTTAATATGAGATTTTTAGGCCAAACGAATTCATTTTTGGGTCGTGCTTGGTGGTGTATCGGGACAAGATTCATGAACAACCTCAGTGGTGGAAAATGTGTCAGGTTGACATTCGTGTGATAGGAGTGATTAATAATGTATTGCGTTGACACTTGTGTGTGATTTTGCGTATAGACATGTTGTCTTGTTGCGAGTATACGGAGTTAAAAGCCCGAAATCCCCCCCCCCCCCCCCCCCCCCCCCCCCCCCCCAATTAAATCGTTTGGGTTAAAGATCTCATATTAAAATGTTATGAAGTATGCTCTCACTAGGCATTTACAATAACCTAAATCTTTGATGATTCCAATAAATCTTTATACTTCCAAACGTAAATTTTGACTGTGAAACCTTATGGGCACGCATATTTTATGCATGGGGAATTCGAGGGATAGATAGTGAATAATGAGGTACTTGTCACAAGAGCACAGTTAAGCAATACCTAAAGGTAGAAATGGCTTAGGAGAAGGTAGAGCAGGTACATGTACGGTCTCTATTATTGAAAGACCCAACGGTCAGGTCAATCAATCAGCATCCGCGAAGAAAAGGGGTATTCGATAAAATCCAATGCGATCCAGCTGGAAAAGCCGAGATTGAAAAGTTCCAGCGTTCGTGCTCAAAATCGGGCCTATTTCCATCGACCAATCGTCGCACTCTTCTCGTCTTGTCTGCTATATTCCACTGTAACGCGTACCTGCAGCTCCTCCTGCTCTGGCTTCGCGCCCCTCCCACCGCGAAAATGTGCGCTTTCCCCGCAATCAAAGAAGCCGCTTTCCATCGACCAGCTCAGGCGCTTGTCTTCTGCGGCCTCCGTTCGATGAAGATGTGATTCAATCATGAGCCTCTATTTACATCATTCTCCGATGCTCGGGCCCTGGAATCCTCGAGAGGACAGGCAAGGCAACGCCAGGCAAGGGGACAGGCTTTAGGGGGCCGTCGGTCGCGAAATGGACAGTGGATATACGTGATACCCTGTGGTCCGCAGCAACTTCCCTCCGCCTTTCCCTTCGTTCTCAGCGGACCGCGCCAGGGCCTCCGCTCTCTTCGGGCGGAAGAAAACACGTCCCGTCGTCATCGTTCCTCGCATATCCACGTCAACTGAGCATTGTCCGCGTCGGATTGCTGTTTACTCCACGGGGCAGCTTTCCATCGCAAAAGACTCCCTGGACGACGTGTAATCTTGAAGCGTTGACGCGCTTTTGGCGCTGGGGCTCCTCTTCTTAACCCGCTCTTCTGAGCTCGTTGGTCAACCATATCGAAGCTCGTCGAAATCAATCTGTCAGAAAGCGGATTTGGTTCCATAGATCGGTGATTTGGTCGTGCGGGGAGTTGTTTCTACGGGATTCAGGAGTCGGAGTAGTATCGTACGGGGCTGTTTGTGGGCTGATTGGAAAGGTGGCACTCTGTGCATTGGTCGGCTCTGCGGAGGAGGTGGTGAAGGAAGCATCAGGGAAGGAAGGATCCGAAGCAGAATTCTAATCAGAGCGGGTCTGAGAGGCCATGGATCATCTTAGAAGAGCTGATGCGAAAGTTTCTCAAGCTACTCATCCCGTCAGACATGCGAAATGGCGCCTGAACAGGTACATCTTAGACACTGACACAAGGACTTGTTTTGGAGTTTCTCGGGGTGTGGCTGCAACCCGGCCGAGGTCGCACCGATTTGCTTTCAATCTTTTCAGCGTACAGTGACAGTTCGCACGCCGTGATTTACTTGAAATTTCTCAGATTGTGAGGACATTGTAGTCTGCTGAGCGAAAGATTCTCGACTGACAGGTCTTCTGGCCGAAGCTCTTAGAGCCGGCTGACCATCGCTCAATAAACAGAGTAGATGGCGTTGTGCTTGAATGTTTAAGATGTGGTTAATTTAGGGTGTGATGTGAGCTAAATGTTGGTGTGCCGTCAATGTGTTTCTTGCAGATGGAATCCCAGGGTCAGGTGGAACATTAAGAAGCATAAAATGACCCACCCGATCGACCATCAAAAAGCCAAAGTGAAGAGAAAGTTCAATCACATGAATCCATTTTTCTACCTCAAGCGCATCAAGAACAATATCAAGAGCATTTTCAGAAGAAAGTAGATCTGACTTTCAGAGGTGTATTCCTTGCAGTTTATGTTCTTGATACAGTAGATCACAACTTCTCTCGACTCTTTGTATATGAGTCTACAGTTGAGAGATTTTGCAGACATTTGATGCTCGTGACGTAGGAATTAGCAGTGAAACAAAACTCCCATTGGAGTTTGTACAGATATCATTCATTCTTTCTTTCTTCAAGTAAAAGATCCAAAATAATTTACCCCTTTCTAATCAGCAGCATTAGGTACTACTCGTATGACAATTCTGCATAGCTTCTAGTGGAATTTTATTAGGTTCCCAGTTTTCTGGTAGATATACGCAGGACCCGACTGGTCTTAGATAGCCACAGAATGTCGAGAGAATCATATTCAGAAGGCAAGCACAGGATGATGATTGAGGACAGACGACAGTTGTGTCTGCGGAAACTGATTCTCTCCACATATCTACAGTGAGAGGGCCGTGCCAGTTTCCCAGAAACGGTCAGGCATTTTGAGGTGATGTACAGGTGGAACTCTGATTTTATGGAACTTTGAGCTGGCGCCTGGAATATGCCTCATGCCTGATGCAGTCTATATCGATGTATTATGCAGTCTGTCTGGAAGATTTTGTCAACTGTTGGGAGACTGCAGTTCACACATGTAGTTGTTTCCTACCTATTATGTGACTTGGATCTTTTGACTGGATGAACGAAGCAGGCTACATCGATTGCAAGAAGCATATTTGTAGGATGTTCTCCTGATGCTATATAAGGACGATTTTGTTGTTTTCACTCCCTTGTCTTCGAGATGCTTGTGTATTGTCAGTGTTGACTAGTTAAATGGGTCGGAACCTTTTCTCGTCTGCAGAAACTTCCAGTTTTTATCTCTATCATCTGCTAGAATCGAATGAAAATGAAGCAATTTGGAATATGGAGTGAGGCAAGCACGATATTCGAATATTAACACAACACTGAATTTGTGGCAACACTGAACCTACATCTGCAATACAAGTTGCGTAACCTTTCGAATTTATTATAGAATCATCCCGGTCTCTCAAAGGGAAAGAATGTGCCTTAGCAATGTAAATCATTGATAAGGGAATTAACCCCAATCATTACTGGCCATGTCTGATAAATATGAAGGTTGTTTGGAATTGCCTACAATCATTATGATTGAATTAATCGCGGTGTTTTAATTTAATTCTGAAGTGACCACGGAATTGAGTAAACCGTTTATTTCGAAGTCTTCTTACTCGACAGGAAGTCAGCAGCTTCTCTTTGTTTAGAGGTGAAGCGTTTCGATGACAGCGATCCTTTATAGTAGCCAGCTGCAACGCTTGTGAATGTACTCCCGTTGGGTGCTCAGTTGATCTGTACTGCCCTTCCTGCCATTTACTCTGTCTGTCCTCTCGTACCTTCGAAGGACCTGATAATTCGAAATGTCGGCGAAGGACTCTTTGACAGAGACCTGTGGGAATCACTGACATGAATAAGGGGCTAAAACGCCTACACAGCGCATTATACTTCCGGAGTTACATTACCTCCACTCGGGTATTTCCTCCATGGCGAATTTACCACATAAAATCAAATGATATTTCATATAAGTTCAGCCCCAGAATTCTGTTCGCTTAAGATCGGTTTGAAAGTCTACGCTGCGCAAGCCGTTAGTCTTGGGGGAGGTGGCGGGAGGGTCTGATCAGGCCCAACTCCATTTTTCACAATGAACGCCATCTGCATACCCCACGAGGTGTGTTTCTCCAGGTGACAATGCAGGAACCAAACTCCTGTGGAAACAAAGAACGCAATTTCAGATTCTTGTAAATCCTCTTGCACAAGTCAATTGCTTGGGCAGGCAGAGCGAAGCAATCGGGAATGCTGAAAGATTTCTCACGTTGCAACATGTCTTACCTGGGTTAGTTGCTGCGAATCTGATGGCGACCCATCCTCTGGAAGGAACGTCAACTGTGAATCGGTGGGGAGGGTTGTAGTAGTTGAGAGTGGAAGGACTGTTAATGGGATCCCAATCGCCCTGTCCACGGCCCAGCACGTAGAAGTGGTACCCATGCAGGTGGAAAGGGTGGCTCTCGAAAGCAAACACCATGGTCCCTTGTAGCACCAGGTCCAGCACCGTCCCGTACTCGAGCACGCTAACCCTCGTTCCCAGCTTCGAAATCTGTTGAGCCGTAGGCGGACTATCGGGACTCGTGTAGAAAAACGGGCTCTCGGGAAAATCAGGGAAATCCGTCGTGTAAACTCCCTCGATGCCGAAGTAGTATGCCTGCAGTAGATCGATTTTGGGCAGGACGAAGGTGATATTGTTCACCTCCCCAGCTGCTCTAAAAGTGCAGTTCTGTGAGGGTTCGCAGAATTGGCTGGCCGTGCCGACGGTGAACAACATATTTCGGGTTGCGTTAAGAGGCACATCCTGGGGCCGTAAGGTGAACAGGCTGTTCTCAAACTGCATCGCAAAACTGGAGTCATTCTCCGCAGGAAGGCCTGGATAGAATGTCGTACTCGGGTCCAGAACCGGGGCACTGTCATACTGAAACAAAGCAGAGGCCGGAATCTTGGGGACGTCGTTCAGAATGACTTGTACTGCTGCTGCTGGTAGTTCTGCTGGGTCCGTGAGTATGACAGACGAGTAGCCTTTGGCTTCCATGTAGTAGCTGCCGGGGGCCTGATCCGCGGTGATCAGCACGTTCATCGTCTGGCCGGGGCCAATGTACGTGGTGTCGAAATCCGTCGGCGTCACGTACTCACCGTCCACCTCCACCACCGTCTGCTTGTGGTTCGCGATCCCCAGAAACTCTTCCGTGTTCAGTCCAGCGTTGATCACCCGCAGCAGATACGTCTTGCCCGCTGAAATCGTGAACCTGGTGATTCCTGTGCGCACATACACACGTCCATACCTGGTCATCCTGTTTCAGAGCCACTGTACTGTACTCACATGCAAGCGTTTCACAATCTCGACGAGAGAAATCTAATCTTCACGTGCTTCAGAAAATGTCAGAGTCCTTCATCATATCGTGCAGCCATGAGGAACCAGGCCTCGGCATTCGTGCCGAAGATGGCGTTTCTGTCGCTTGGAAGCTAATGCAGCCATTTCTGCATTTACAGACATTTGGACTTGCCCTCAGACTCGAGATTATCATTCAGATTATCAGAGCGCCCATCGGTGAGTATGCATTGGTCCTCGTAGGCCAGGGACCACGGCTGTCCGGAAAGTACCGGGAGATTTCAATCGTAGATGGTGGACTCGGCACCAGGTCAATGAAGCACCGAAGCTCCAGTCGGAAGAAATTTGTGAATCTGACAATCTGAGAGCACGACGAGATTGGACCGGTGTCACATACCTTCGACATCAGTGCAATTGTAGCGGTAGCCTGGTTTGCCGTTGACGAGGAGAGCATCTGCAAGCTGGAAAGGACCTCCGCCTTCGAGTCCGGCGATTTCAATAGCTTCAGGATCTCCATTCCACCATTCACCTGTAACACGACGTTCGAAGGCAGGCTTGAGTCAACCATGATCGAGCTGACATTGCAATTGTGAAGCCGGGCAACCTCATCTACTCCACAGACATCGAAGGGTGTCGAGCGGCACGGCACAGTCAGAGCCGGTCCGAAGACAACAGTTGCGAATTGGTGCTCACGTTCTGATTTCGACCATCGAGCTGTAAAAAGCAGATTCTACTGCGGTAGTGTAAGGCGTTCTTCCGTAAAGATTTAATATTGGACAGGATACGAACGCAGAGATGTCACTTGTCCTCGTGGAAAATAGTAAAGTACAGAAGGGCATGAGTAGCAGAAATTAGGTGAGAGATTCGTTGGCTCGAGTCTGACGATGCTTTACAAGGTCTGACGCTGCAGAGATGCGGAGAATCTTCTCTCGATGGCAAGTGCTCGGCGGGATAGATTCTCTTGACGAAGCGTCGCAATTTGCCGTATCTGGAACCGAATGAAGACATGCACCAGAATTCCTACGGTACAGGAAAGCTCAGACTTGCGGTCCACGATCTACGACAAACTAGACATCTTCAGTGGGGCCTCAAACAAGTATGAAGTCCGTGCTTGCACGGACGCTGAGAAGCATGAAAGCCCAGCATGACGCAGTGACCGAAATCAGTCTTGCTCCTTGACTGAAGAGCCCACTCGGGCGTCAGCCATGATGACGAACAATAATCCATGGCAATCGATTGCTGAGCACTCTGCATGAGTACGAAGGCTTCCAACAGACATGTTTCAGACATTGTGCCCAGAGGAGTCTGTGGAAGAAGTTACCAATGAATGAAGCGACTACTGAGAGACTGAGTGGGAGACACTGTGGCTCCTTCCACTTGTGTCAGTCCCAACCGAGCCTTAGAAAGCATCCACTTTTAACGACGATTGTGGGGCTCCATGATTCAGGTCCCCCAGAATCTCGTACGAGAATTCGCCCAATTATCCTCTAGCTCGGCATATCGATATGCATTAAGAGAAGATGGAATGAAACATGACCAAAAGTTGGCTAGAATAATCTGACATTTTAGGAAGAAACAGAGAAATCTGCAAAGTGGATGACAGATGTGAAGCAATTGAAGAAGGATTCGTACCTAGTGTCACAATAAACTGATCATCTGGTTTGGTATGAGGGTATGTGAAGTCTCTTGGAAAGACCACAATGGCTCCGTGCACGGTCGCTCGAAGCCAGGTCGTGTGGGCATGCCAGAACACAGTTCCAGTTTGGCCTTGGAGAGTGAAGTTGTAGACAAAGGAGTCGCCCTGTTTCAGCGGACATTGTGTGATGTATCCTACTCCATCCTGCCAGCAAGATAAAACCTGCCGAACACCATGCCTACAAGACAGTAAGACAGCCAGTTTAAGCAAATTATACAACTCAGAATGACAATGAAGATTTGACGACATTGAACAGCTTCAGTTTCCGCTGCTCGCTGGCAAATCTAGAGAGCACTTTCAGCTTTGCACAAATCACTCCGATGAGAATATGTATTTGACTGTTGGCTACACGCAAACATATATGCAATGAAGTCATATGGGATCCTACCAATGAATGGTAACACCCGAGCCGGCGTTGTTTGTGACATTGACGATGATGGTATCCCCTTCGACGGCATAAATGGTTGGTCCTGGAAACTGCCCATTCACCACTATCATATCCTTGGTGACACAGTTCGCTGTGACGGAAGATACTCCAATCTGTCCAGGGTCCCACGAAAATGCATGAGCTGAAGTCTCACCATATAATGTGCAGGGGAGTATCGACAATGAATAAAAATAATGCCCCAGCAAATCTATCGTTAAAATAACACGTTCAGCTTATTCGTGAATCTCTGGGATTCGTGCGTCCAGACTGGTCGCAGCTTCGAATCAGAGGAAGCTCAAGGGCCAAAGGTGGAACGGAGATCATAGTAAAAGCTCAATCTACAGGCGGGATGCTGCATAGATTGCGCGACATCGTCTTCGCGGTTCGTGTATTTAACACATGCCAGAATTTTCAAATAAACTGGTATTGGGCATCAGGGATGAACACAAATTCTGACGCGTAAATAGTCTCTCCAGTAGTTGCCATTACTCTGCAGGACAAAACGTGGCTGCTGTGCATGGTTATTTCAGCTGGGACGACTACCTTGCTCTGAAGCTCATTGTCCACTGAGAATTGAGCTCGTCTTCGTAAATGCAGATCTTTGTGACTTTCACTGAAATATGAGCAATGTCAAGGGGATTCAGATGCACAAGTAGCTGCTGAAATTGGTTTGAAGCTTAGAAACTTACACTCCATCCGTAATATCTTGTCGTTGGCCCACTATAGGTACTCTCCGTATCATGAGGCCCGTTGTTTGTTGCGTTACAAATAACAAAACAGTATCCGAGTAAAATCCACAATCGTCGCACTGGCCCTTTCCTGGCTGCCATATTCTTCAAGCTGCTCCCACTCATGTTGATGTGTAGATCCAGTTGGTTCCAACCGAAGGGAGGCAATTGCAGGAGGACCGGAGCTTAAGGATATCAAAACATTACACCAGAAACTCTTCTCGAAGGGACATTCAGGACTAAGGATCTCAGACTGTAGAAATGGAGATTCTGATCATATTCTGGCTTTCCACGCTTATAAAGGATCAGATCAGCTCCGGTCGTAGCAAGTCGGGTGCTTGCACCTATAACAGTGACTGTACATGGAGCACCTTTGCCTTCCCACGTCCCATAGCTGATAAGACCGAAATATCGCAGTTCTGTGTCCGAGGTAGGGCCCTGAGCAAAGCTTATAACTGCGATGAGATGCAGGGAGACGAGCGAAAGTTGACTCAGACGGCAGCAGAGGCCGTCACTCGAGGATTTAAAGTCAATAAGAACACATGTCGAGTGCTTGCATCACTAGTGTGAGATACTGGATGGAATCACCACAGGATGAAATAAATGCACAACGACCTATGATATGCAGAAACAGAGAAGAGCTAACTCTCACACTAGATCCGACTTCTTGGAAAGTCGGATCTAGTTCGCCATCTAGTGAGGTCAGATGGAGGTCTGATCAAAAGAGGAAATCTGTAGATGAGAAAATCTTACGCAAACTCTTCTCATGGAAGGAGCTGAAGCAAACATGAGGCTGAGGAGATGTCTGAGGCCTTTGCGTTCAATCAATGCTGATAAAGTAAGTAGGTATTGTTGGGAGATTATTCTTCTAATCAGCACGTCAGTTCAACGAAACATATCTGACAGCAGACAGTCGTCTTTTCAAAACTTTTCTCAATATCAATGACATCACATTTTACCGTTTGCTTTACAAGGTTCCCATCTGGTCCAGCTTCTCTCAGAGGACATGCTAATGTCTTCATCTTCTATCGAGCGATTCAAAGCCACTCACTTTGGTGAGGATACTAGGATCAATACCACTATACTAACATGCCAACTGACTGACTCACGTTCTCATATACTTTCGTATCTAGCAGTTACTATCACACACTGAATCTAGTTGAGACTTATAGCTCTAAAATACTACTTCACAGGACGTCAGGAGGTAGAAACTTATGCTACCTTGAAGATTGTAATCTGGCCAAATCTGTCGGAATAAACCTCCCTTGCTACAACAGTAGTACCTAATCTTGAACTATCTGGATTTCATATTGTAGGTACTTTCCCGAGAACTAGAGAGAGTTCAACTAGTAGAGAAAATTGTGACGTATATATGGTTGTTAACAAAAGTGGCTCATTCCGGAAGCTATTATCGCCAGGCATCTCCGGGAAGAAAGCCTCTTAAAGTTGGGGATATGCTTTACACCCTGTTTCCGTTGAATGATATTCGTGAAGCAATGTACTAATAAGACGTTGTTCCTTTCTACCTAAGCTAGAAAAAGAGAAATCACACAAGATTCTCTTTAGTTCTTATTCTTAGCTCCTTGGTCTGGTGTGGAGTCTAGCACTTAAGCATAATCCATGCATCCATCCATCCATACGTCCCTCCCTCCTAATTCCACCTTCACTCAATCATTCAAAGGTCCCAGCTTATTCCATCTGCTGTAGACCCTTCTGGCTCTTGTGGGCCCCATCTTCTAAAGGATCCAGACTCAGTCAGTTGTTCGTCTCCTCACTGCAAACCCCACCAAACTCAGATTCATATGTTCTGCGCAGTCCTTGTGCATCGAGGACTAGGATGCCTTCCACTGTAGACCTCACCCAAGTGAGAGAAAGAGAGGGGTTTAGATCACACTTACTGAGTGTTCTAATCTCATGTTTGTGATCTACGTACATATTAATTTGCAACAGGGTGATCTGTGGAATTTCGTCACTAGACTGGCTGAAAAGGTACAAGTCCACGTGAGTTCCCATTTCTTGTGGATTTTAAAAGTGTCATGTAGCTGTTGCAGACTCAATGAAAGACCCGACCTCGCTAGACGGCACGACTCCAGATACTCCGTAGTTGTCAACATGACTACAATCATTCATTAAGTATATCTATGTATATATAAAGCGAATTTAATTGCAGCTAGTCATACAAACTGCATGGAGCCCAAGCGGTATTACTCTAAACTATTTGTAGATACTGATACTATTGACTGTCCTAAGGCTTCATAAGTCCACTCCTGGATAGGAAGCATGTGTAGTATTGCGAGTGGAAATGCGCCAAAACATTTCTCAAGGCAAATCTGACCTAGGACTATTTCCTACCTACAAGAATGGCTTTATCTCCACGGTCAGCAGATGCTTCTTAAGGGAGAGACACGAAAACCTCAGGAGGAATAAACATTTGAAATTTGATCATGCTCCAAGAAGCACATACGCTGTTGTGTTCCTTGTAAGTCCGTTACCACCTGCCTTAATAGAATGGCTTTATCTCCACGGTCAGCAGATGCCTCTTAAGGGACAGACACGAAAACCTCAGGAGGAAGAAACATCTGAAATTTGATCATGCTCCAAGAAGCACATACGCTATTGTGTTCCTTGTAAGTCTCCGTTACCACCTGCCTTAATGCGCGTGGATTAGCGTTTGCACCTGTAGAATCTTCTTACCCAGGGAAGACTCTTCTCTATGCCACAGTCGTCAAGCCAAAAGCAAGACACAAACGACCACCAACTTTTAGGGAGAATCAAATGAGGAACAGTGTCCTACAACGGAAACTGAATGGTATGCAGTGGTAAGAACTAGGTCTACTTTCAGATGTTATGACACATGCAGACTTAGAAGAAAGATGATGTTCGTGTGGTGGTTTTACCACGACTACGATTTCAGATGTTAACGACAAACTGGCATCTTGTGCTGAATTACCCTAGGCAAGCAAATATGGACAAATAATTTCTGTTTCAAACGATTGATGTGGGATGAGGGAAGTGTCGCAATGGCCGCTGTTCAGTCGTTGATTCACCGTCAATCGATAGAAAAAAGGTCCTGGAGGAGGCATGAGAAGCCTGCGATATGTTTCAAGCCAGTCAATTCAAAACATGACAGGATGTTGTTGGAAATTCCGGGACTATTCATTTGGGGAAGCTAGTGATGCACTAAGTCCAAAATTGGCTCAGGCAGTCTCCACTCAGAACATTCAGTGCTGAGTCGATTATCCAGTCCATCTGAGCCCTAGTTACCAATCTTTGAGCTTTATGATTCTCCTCGCTTGCACCCTGAGACAAAAAATGCTTATCTAGTAGTTGGGCGAAGCAGGTGAAGACGACCCCATGCCCTTCAATTTATCTATACAAGCCTTCGGGTAGTGGACTTGACAGCTTGGAATCATGGAATCTTGCAATTCACTTTTGTTTCAGGTTTGAGACATCGGACCAGAAGTTCTACAATAAGATAGATCAAAGTCACGGACAACTCAATGACAGCAAAAGCTCGGTTGAAGAAGACTATAATATGTCTATCGTGGTGACTGTAGATCTCTACTTGGAGCTAAAATAATGAGTCCCCTCTGCCTTAGATCCAAAGAGATTGCGATACAACTCAACAAGTCAGTGCAACATCAGTACCTTCGCCCCGGGCAGGAACTTGTGCGAGGAGTATTGCAGCCCAGAGAGTGAAGGATTATTGGACTCTGACAACTTTAGGCCATCTCTGACCCGGATTGGTTCATTGATTTCATTCTTCACCTTATTTACTCTAGCTCTTCTAGCTCTTGCCTCAAGAAGAGTCAGACTTCCTGCCAAAAGAGCCCCAGCTCTAGCAGTTCATTTGAGGACGCTAATATTGTTTGCTCCAAATAGAGTCCACGTGCCCTCCTAATTCTTAAGAGGTAGCAAATTGTTGGGGCTCATAATCATTTATACCAGGATCTCTGCCGCAAAGTCTCAGGATCTAGACATATACAAAGAACAATGAACGGTTGATGTATTGCGCAGAAAGCAGATACTTATTCATCACATCAGATAGCTGATAACTGGTCGTACTTTTGTTCTGAAGATCTGAAGTGAAAATTAGACACAAGCTTCATTGCCTTCTAGCAAAAGGGTTCAAAGCTGTGCATACCATGGTCCTAAAAACGAACCCATATGAATTCATCTGTAGATGTGTTCACCATATGCGACCCATGACTTCGACGTCGTTTCATGCTGGTTGTCAGGACGATATGGGGCAAGCCATGGGGCCAAGAGTGCCGCCCAACAAACCAAACATCCCTTAAGCTTAAGGTGAAATCGGCTCTAAGATCAGTGCAGGAGGGAGGCTTGCCCTTAGTGGTGTCTTATCTCTATATTTACCGTTGTCACCTCACTGCAAGGCATGAGGAGGTAGAATCTAACTTTCAATCTATGAGCTGGAGAGAGGCGTTCTGGAACAAATTTCGAAAGCATTGCCTGTAGATACATAAATTGTCTTCTTCACGCACTTTTTTGGATTCCTCACTTTATCCACATTACGAGACAGGGACTCTTCGGTCCTCGACCGTAAGTTTAGGCACATCTTCGATCGATACAATGCGGACGCTGTTGTTGAAGAATCTCGAACTTTAGTGTTGTCGGTCCATGGGCACATATCAGCGAGGTTGGCTCGGCCCTCGAGACTCCCCCCATTGTGCTGAAGCACTGCTGCAATCAACTTCACAACGTTGGTTCGTGTGTACCGTGGACAAAGTTTGTACCCAATGTCATGGGGTACAAACTCCTTTTGTTTGTCAATACCAGACCTCCTCCCAACTTTCATCGATCAGCTGCTACTCTTTCTGACCTGTTGTGTACGCAGGCCGTATGATACTTATCATTCGTGCAGGCATGACCCTACGCAGATTCGCAACAAGTACAATTCAGTCTATTTTCAAAGCAGACCCATGCTGTAGATGGATATGTGACAAGTCGGTTGGGTGTACATATACACCGTATAAATATACTCGGAGGTGGGTTGGCACGTATCCGCACTTGCGTTCATGGATCTTCAGGACCCAGTAAGTGTGACCTTCAAAGCGTTCCTCCTCGTAGTATCGTGTTGTACGTACTCTTCTTCGTTCGCAGATTCTTTGTTTCGGTCTAGGGGTTAACTGAGACCGAAAACTAATTTCACCACACACTTTCACTGCATTGATGTGTGAATCTTTGAGAGAAGCTGCAAATCATGCACCGATGATTGACAACAATCTAGAATATCCAGAATTTGACCAGTTAATGCATCTTACATGAGATCTTCAATAGTCTGGTCAAAACTTCTTACTCTACCGTTTTCCACCAGGCAAAGTCCTCTTGTGACGTGATAACATGATTCTTGTAGTCAAAATCTTGTATTTGAGTGCTTGTGTAACTTGACATCAACTTGGCACATGAACCTTGTAATCTGTTCTTGTTGCCATCAGATCGACGGAGTCCTGAAGACTTTTCGGACATGCTGGACCAAGCGTTGACCAAAACATTGGTTGATTCCTCGTCGTGAACTTAATGATGACTTTCTATCATCAACATTCTTCTGTTGATGACTGGTGTTGGAATGACCATGAAACACTTTCTCTCATTAAACCTACAACAACAAGGGTTAAGTAAAACATATAGTTTTATTTTAATGGTTACCAAAATTCTAGGATTTAAGGACTGTGCTAGGTTAATTGCTGCTAACTACGTGCTGTTGCATTGATGACTGGTTCCTTCTGTAAGACACCGATTGCTGAACTCTTCAATCACTTGTGATCACATCGCTGACTCTCAGGTCATCTTATGAGGGAG